TTTGCAAAAAAAAAAAAAAAAAAAAAAAAGAAAGAGAAAAAAGAAAAATTGCGACATATCGAAAGCGAAATTGCACAACTGTTTGATTGACCGTTCACGAAAATGATTTCGATAATTTCTTCAAAATTAGACTCCCGTATAAATTAATTGTAGATTAATAACTGGTACAAAATTCTCAGATTTATCCCAACTTTCTGGAATATATAGGTTTCACAACAGTATAATTTTGCGAAGCAAAGAATGGAACGTAACGATTATTCTTCGCGCTATACATTACATTTTGCTTCATTAGATAAGTTATAGTACAATTACAAACATATTCCCTCGAATAAACGCATCGATAACTGCTATCGTAAATTATCGCCCGTTCGCATTGTTAAATAATATTTTCGTCAATAATTTTTTCACGTTAGATATAAATATCAACTTTTATCTATAAAACGGCTTTCGGATTTTTACGTTCCGTCGCGAATTTATGGCCATTTGAAGTTAATTTCTCGCGGTGTGCAATTTGCACTTTCCCGCACGCGTATAATTCATCGAATGCTCGCTAAAATTACCAGAAATTTAAGCAGTGTACAGTAAGACATTTTATTTTCATCGGACTTCTCTTAATAATTCGACCAATAACTTTAAACATCTCAGAGACGATTAGAATAAATAATTACACTGTTCTATGGGAGATTTGTAGAGACTATTCTAGATATTATTCGTGCCTATGGAGCAGCTTAAAAATTCACCATTTTCCACAGTGAGAAACGATGCGCGCGATCGTTTTTAACTCGTCTATTCTTGCGTGTCTCTCCTCGCTTGTCTCGCCAACGTGCAGCAAGCCAGAACGTATATAGAAGAGAGAGAGAGAGAGAGAGAGAGAGAGAGAGAGAGACTTCTTTCGAAAGGAAGAAACGCAGCGACGTGTTCGTCGAGAGAAAATACATGGAGAGAGCACAGCCTCGCAAGCCGAGCCACGTATAATTTAATGTGTCTAATGATTCGCAGTGCGCCGCAAGAACGTGAGTGGCGTACCAAGGTCGTCGTATTTTTAGTTAGGCCAATGTTTAGTTGGCCACGTTCGTCGGAGATAGAGGGACCTTGAATTTCGTGGATAACATCTGCCGTCTTATCGACGGCCCCTGATAACTTTTTCAGTACTAACCTAGTATAAGCCAGCCGTTCAAATATTAATCGAGCAACGCGGCACCGAACGCCGCACCTGAATTTATGTTTTTTTTTTCTTCCTCTTGACGTACATACGTGTGTACTCACATACGCTCACTCCGCTCAAAAGTCTCCGGACACACACTTGGCGGCCAAAACTGGAAAGATGAAACGATACCTCGTGCAAGAAAGAACTTAAATATTAACCCTTGCTCGGCCAACTTTGCGTCATTGAGATAAATGATCATCTGAACATTATTAACATAACAGGACAGCGAATATCTAAATACTTTTACAATTTTGTGCAATGTGTCGTACGTTCATTAAATTCTACATTTATTCTTAAATTCGTTTTATATACTTGACAAATATAATCAAGCATGGATCAATAATTCAATGAAATTTCAGAGCGTAATGTGTTTGAGTACTGCTCACGAGTGACAATATATTAAGAAACACACGTGCGACTGAAAAATTTTGACAAATGCCGAGAACTAAGAACAAAAAGTGTCCCAAGACTTTTGAGCCAGGAGCGATCGGCAAAACTCTCGATTTTCGTTTGTCTCCTAACCTGACACCCATGAAATTCGCCAGATCGTCGTTCGTTTGTCTCCGCGATAACGAAGAGAGAGAGAGAGAGAGAGAGAGAGAGAGAGAGAGAGAAAAGACAAAAAGAAAAAAAAGTTCTATTTCATCAGACACAAAGTACCTCGATACGGAAACACCTCGTATCTCCACGGCGGGGAAACGTTAAATTGTTTACCGTTATTTAAGCGAGTTTACCGTTAACTCCCGCCCCACAGAGCGCCGCGTTCCACGACCCCCAAATATGCATATAATGCGCCGTGCGCGAGCGTGACTTATACGTTTGAAAAAAAAAAGAGAAAGAGAGAGAGAGGGGGAGAGGAAATTGTTCGTCCGAACGAGCGAAAAAAAAAAGGAGAGAAGAAAAATTGCCAATAAGTCGAGAGATACACGGTAATAAGGTTACCATATGGTGCACGCGCGTCAGGGTCAAATGTCGCTCGAAACATAACCGTAAAAGAGTGTGACAAACTTGGTCGACCTATCGTACATCCTGTTTCACAATTCGGAAACGAGTAAAGCTGCAAAGTCTCACGATCGTAATAATTACGATGTAATTGTAAGCTTTTCAATTCGGTCTGCAAAATATGTATGTATATAATAAAAGGGAACTATGTTACAATTACGCCGATCGATATATATATATATATATATAATATACATATACGTAGAGAGATATAAAATATATATACAATGTGTTCGTAAATGCAAAATCATAAGCAATGTCATAATGCTGTCGTATCGGCGATATCGTGTGTTTTCCGTTACCAAACGTTTAATGGGACGACAACACTGATGACAAAATTTCACGAATGGACAATACGAGCACGGCATATAATGTGTAATATGTATGTATGTATATATATATATATATATAGAGAGAGAGAGAGAGTACGAAAGATCAATCGCCGATAAAAAAAAAATGATATTCGACGCGAATCACGAAACTCAAAGCGTTAATAAATTGATAGTACTATTGCACTTTGACGAAATTGTCGGAGAATTTATTAGGTGTAGAACAAAGAGAACAGTCTGTCGTTGCATCGTTATTCGTCAACTTCTTCTCGCAGTACTTTCTTCTGCTTTTTTTAAATTTTTTTCTCTAGTTTCACTCGTTTATCATTTTTCGTGTTTTCGCTATTTATTTATTTATTTATATATTTATTTTTTTTATTTCTTTTTGATTTTTCGTTTCCGCTTCTGCTTTCAACAAAGGGGATCATTTTCCGTACCGACTTTCTCTTCTTTTCAGTTCAGACATGGTAGAGATTACGGCAGAGATACTTTTGTACAGTGATGCCAAACAGTGACGGTTTTCTCTTTCATCGCTTTTGTGCCAATTAGAATGATCGCGAGCGAATTCGACGTGTCGAAAGAACGAATGCATCTGCTGCTGTCCGTGTTCTTTGTTGGGTATAGCGCAAATCCACGCTCGCGGTGAAAACGTCTTTGCTCTATAAAACGCTATCGATCGCCGGCGATCCCACCCGCTTCGTATCGTTTCAACCTCAACCGATACAAAAACGATTCTCTCCCGACATGTTCTGATCCTGATCTCTCAAACTTTTCGTTGCAAAAACTAAATATTGCTAAGAGACAATTACTGTCGAAATTGGCAATAACAAAAAAAAAAAAAAAAAAAAAAAAAAAAAAAAAAAAAAAAAAAAATAAGAAAGAAAAGGAAAGGTAAAATGCACCGCTTGTCAAAAAGATTGCAACGCCTTGAAAACAAAATTGCGTGCAAAACAAAAAAGAAGAAAAGAAAAGAAAATAAATTTTAAACTCGAACTCTGCGTAACCTTCTTCGTTTCTCAATTAAATTTTCACGTTCCAGAAATATTGCGTAACCCCTGAGAGTTGCTAGATGCTGCAATTTTCTTAACAAAGCAGTGACGAACAATACAGATCAGCAGATAAATTCGTACCAACGCGGCGAATTCGTTGATAACCGCGGGGAACGTTATGACATCATGAGATGCGAATGCAAGGCGATTTCGGTAAATGATGATTATCGATGACTTTTGTAACGCATGCCAATTAGAAGAAGTTTTAATCGTCCAAGCAGACAGTAGTGCTCTTTCACCGCAACCAAATAAATAAAAATATATAATGTATGTATATATAATATGTATATATGTATATATATATAGTATGTATAAATCATTCTTATATAATTATCCGTGATTTTTGTTAGTGTTTGATATAACTGCACAAGTCGTTTTAGTTACTTTGTTTTTTTTTTTTTTTTTGTTTGTTTTTTTTCATTAGAGCGAACCGCTACACCGCAGACAATATTGCGGCCACGATGTATCGACTGTCGATAGAAAAAAACAATATGGAACAGCGTAGAAGTGCCCTTTCGAAAAATCAAAAGAAATCAAAGAGGCTGAAATTCACAACCCTTCCCCCGTATCGATCGTACGCGATTGACTTTTTTCAAACGACCGTAAGGAAAATTACGCGTGTGTGTGTATGTGTGTGTGTGTATATGTATATATTTATGTACATGTAAATCGTGTATGTACGCGAGGGGATTGATGTTCTAATGATTTTTGCTAGGGCAGAGCTAATGACAAATATTCTTACCTTGCGAAGTTCCTGCCAAGTCCGGTGGTTGCAGCCCATGGCCCAATCCTGGAAATTTCACTATCGTCACACGTAGCAACGAACGTTCTTTCGCGGCGAGCGATCGGACAACGGCCTGTACGCAACATCGCAATTAACAGAAAGGTTTCAAAAATTTTGCTTCAAAATCACGATTCGTTAACGCTAGAACCACCCTCGTTGTCGAAACGAGGTTAGAATCGAAAAATCGACGCCACGCGTTCTGCGCCACAGATCTACGGGATCAGCGAACGAAGGTGACAACACGAGCGTTCGAAGCACAATGACTTCGACGGTACATGCTAGGACTTGTTGCCAGAACGAAAATAAGAGGCGTGTCAGTCGTCGTTGCCTTCGATCGTAAGTACACTTGGAAATAAGTCAATAGACTCCTGTACAAATCTTCTTGTTTACGTGATTTACAGTTCCAGGAATTATACGTTCCAGGAAACACACGTGCGAGTTCGCAGTGAGCAGATGATGAAGCAAATAGAAAATATGAAATTTCGCGCGAATGATAAATCCTGACTTCTGGACTCTTTGTACAAAAATGATGTTAAATTAACCTCGAGAGTTCACATAGGCCAACGACTGTTCAACGAGTTAACCGTTTGACACACCGTCGTAGTTCTAGCGTTAATAAACCGCGAGCAAAAGCAGTCCATCCTAAATCGAATCAGGAAAACTAAAAATGTCCCTCCAGTTCGAAAAAAAAAA